GAGGCCGCGCCGAATGTGTTTTTATGCAGTGGTACATGTAAAACTAAGTAGACCGAGGCGAACTGCTGCCACGGGCTGCGTAGCTGACGCTGGAGCATGGCGACACTACCGTGCTGGAATCCCAAAATTGGTCGGAAAGAGTTTTGAGCACCGATTTAGATTTTTTAGAGTATTTTTAGGTACGTAACGAGTATTTTAGATTCTGCATAAAAAATTCATAAAATTCGGTACCCATTAGGAGGCATAGCAGACAGTGCGACATCTCGAAATATCAATTGAGGTAAAGATTCATCACCCTATTCCCCGTTACGGTAAATTAAGACTTAATATTGCATATTTTTCGTGTTTTATAAAAAATTATATAATTCTAAAAATAATTATATGTCACTAGTGGAGTTGAAACTGTTTAGTTCATGATTGTCCCAATTTCATGTTTATTTTCTTGTACTACTTTATTTGCTTGTTATTATATGGTACATGTTCTAAATTTATATTTTCTATAGATTTATCGATTTATATGACTTATTCGACTATATACTATTAGCATAATGTAGTTTAATTGATCTGTAAATGTAATATGAGATAGTGGTTTGCGTGATTGGTTGTTTTGTTGATAGAAATCTCTATATGAAATACTTACTGGGTACCTATAAAATGGACGGACGAATGTGGTACATAAGGAACCCTACCGTGAATGTTATCTTAGTCGAATGAGGCTGAGAAGTCCCTTACCATAAATGTTTGGGAGACATGGTTGACCATCATACCGGACGGGGTATCGAAGCTATTGAATGTTTAGCACCCATTACCAAATGAGGTATGGGGACGACCGGTTAATTATTTTAATTGGATATTGGGTTCACGAAAAGGTAGACATCCCTTTGGACCCTTAGGAGTACTAGTAAGCAGGTAAGAAGGGAAATGTATCGTCACTTGTTCTCTCATGTGTGATAATAAAAAGTGGTATGAACATGGATTTTCATAGGTTGTTTTTGGAAAAACTCGTTACGTACGTATGAAATAAACGACTTTCTTTATATTAAATGAATTTACATCAAATTAATGACTCAATTAGTATTTTTTTATTTTTAATAATAATTAGTTTTTCGTATATGTGGTTATTGTAATATT